TAAAATCAACCGGGCGCAGCCTTGATTCAAATAGCTGCGAAGTTGGTCCGCAATTCTAAACCACCGTTTTCCCCCCCCTCTCCCTCCCTTCCCACCCCACCTCCACCGCCGCGGGGACATTTGGTGGAAAAATATTGTTCCAAAGGGGGGAATGGCAAAGCTCAGCGTGTAGGAAGAGGGGTGCGCGATCCCATTTCCCCACCGATGATCCCAATGAAGGAACGCGGTGCGGGGCTGGGACGGGGCTGCGGGTGCGTGCGGGGCCGGAGGGACAGCACTGCTGAAATAACATCTCCTTTCCAGCAAAGGTAGAAGAAGAAACGGCCCCTTTGTTTTGGTAATTAGCTAAGCCCAAACTAGGAAAGCAGATGTGTTTGCTTAGCTAATCATGAGACAAGTTTCTTTCAAAGAACTTCTCTGGGCGATTGCAGTCTTTCCATCACAACCGCGTTTCCCTCTCCCTGCTCTCCCACCCCCTTCTCTTTTTATTTTATTTCTATTTTGGCCCCTCACGCTCCTCTCCCTCTGCCCCAGGTGGGAGAGGGCGAGCCCCCCCGGCCCGCTGTGTCACGCCGCTCTGTTGACATTTTATAGATGGGGGATGGGAAGGGAGAAGAAAAAAAAAAAAGAGAAGGGGGGAAAATAAAGTTTTAATGACATGTATGACATATTAAATTAGGCAGTTTTACAATTGGGTTTGAATGTGATGCTAACTGATTACAACTGTGTTATCAAAAGGGTGATAAGATTTATAACTCCGTGAGCACAAGCCTCTCCTCTTAATGACAATAGATGTTCAATAGCAGAAATCTGGTTTCTATTTCCCAAGAAGAGACGCTGTGTGTCTCCGTTGCCCCTTCATTACCGCAGGACTCAAGATCCTCTCTCCAACAGCTTGGCACTTGGAAACCCACAGGCCGGGAATACCTTTATGGTCCCTATTAACTACTGGGTTATTTACACTTTCGCTGGTGCTTCTCACTCAATACCCGTATCACATCCGACGGATAACACAGCCCCGCTCCGGCCCTTTCGCTGCGTGGTTGGGGTTTGCAGTTCGCGTTTCTTTGCTTTACAACATAATGGGGGGAGGTGGAGGGGGGGGGAGGGAAATAATAATAAAAAAGCAGCGCTCTGTCCCTCACACCCTTCTCCTCCCCAGCTCCCTAAACCAACACATTAAGCAAACTTTAAAAACTGGGTTCCTATTACAAAGCAGCGCCCAGGACTAACTGCTTTAAAATTACTGCATAATTAGATTTAGTTGAATTTCACCATTAATTAGGCAGCCGCACTGCGGGGAGCCTTTGAAATCTGAGAAAATGGGAAAAATCATCTGAAGCACGTTTTTTAAACCCGACTTCAATAAATCCTGACAAGGCCCGCATTGCTCCGTGTATCTCTTTCCACCCTACAAAGCAAAGCGGAGCGAGCGCGATCCCCGGGACCCACGAAAGTTTTAATTAAAATAAAAAGAACCCCCCAGCCGGCTTCCCACCGCCGGAGCGCCTCGCAGCGGCCCGCTCCTCCTTCTCTCCGCGTCCCCCAGCCCCCCAGCCCCTTATTCTGGCACGTCTGCCGGTGCTCCCCGAACCCACGGCGGGTCCGACCCGGGTGGGTCGCGCTCTCACGGGGGAGCCGCTTCCCCGGTTCACCGCCGCGCTGAGAGAACGGCGCGGCTCCGCGGGGCTCCGCGCCCTCCGCCCCCGCCGCTCCGCCACCCGCGGCCGCCCCCGCTCAGCTCTCGGGCCCCCCGCGCTGCCGCTGGAAGCGGCGGATCCGCGCGGCGCGCAAACCGAGGCCGGGGCCGCCATGTTGTGGGTTGCAGCACATCGCAATGCCCGGCGCGGGGCTTTTCCCACGCGCTTCCCACCGCGGCTTTTCCCTCCCCGTCGCGCGGAGCGGGGATTCTCTCCCCCCCCCCTCTCCCACCCCCTCCCCAACCCCCCGGGTGGAAGCCCGGCGGGGCCGCGAAGCTGCGCCCGGCCCCGGCAGCCCCACGGGCGGGCCGGCACCGCCCGCCAGGCGCCTCCTCTCGCCCCAGCCCTCCGCTTTTGTCTGAACTTGGGAGAGCCGCCTCCCCTCCGCGCCCCCTCCGCGCCCGCGCAGCCGCCTCCCCCCCTCCCCTCCCCACCGGCGGGGCCGGGGAAGCTTCGGGCGAGCGGCGGCGCGGAGGAAGAGGAGGAGGAGGAAGAGGAGGAGGAGGGGAGGCGAAGCCCTGTGCCCGAGCTGCGCTCTGCAGCTCTCGTTCCGGGTCGCCTTCGGGTCTCTCCCCGCCAGTCTCCGCGCCCGTGGTGGGGAAAGAATCGAGATTTAAAAACCCAAACAAGAAAAAAGGAAAAAAAAAAAAAAAAAGAGAAAAGAAAAAAAAAAAAGGAGGGAGGGTTTGGGGGGGGGACGGCAAGGGAAGAAAAAAATAGACTTAAAGGGAAAGAGTCGCCATGTTTAGCAGCTTTTTTTTTTTTTTTTCCTTCCCTCTTTAAAAAAAGATCTCCTCAATTCCACATAGATCAAGCTCCTCGATCCCAACCCTCCTCTTTTGTCCAATTCAATCTTTGGATAGATCTTTTGTTCTAACTCAGCATGAAAAGAAAAACTTTCTTTAAATGCTATAAACTTAAAACTAACTGCAGTCCCTAAACAAATCCCGCTCGGAGCAGCGCAGCCCCATCTCTAGGTCTGCGTATCCACGGGGCTCGTGCGTGCGGGTGTGCGTGCGGGTGTGCTCTGATTGAACCCTGGTGCTTTTCTGTTTACTATTATTCTCAGCGAACCAAAGCTTGCTGCGAGGAACTTATAAATACAGAGAGAGCTTACAGGCTTTACGACATAAAAAGCGGAGAATGTTTTGGATTTGAAAATCATAAATTATAATTTAATGCCAATAACAATTTACAACAAATGGTTGTTTACAATAAACTAACACAAAACAAACAAGTCAAGATCCTGTGTTCTTAGTAAGCATAAAAACTTCACACACACACACTCACATGGATAGCACTTGCAATAGAAAAAGCTAAATCTAGAGGTCAGCAATCCCCTGCAATAATAGTATATTTATATATTTATAGATATTTATATATTTATAGGAAAGGAGCCATGATTCAGATGGAGAGCCCCGCTCGGCTCACAGCCCTGCACCCTCGGCCCCAGCAGCCACAGTCCGGGCTGGAATCCACTTTACGGAACGAGCCCCCGTGCGAGACCACAGCACTGTGTGGCAACGCGTGGCAAAGGGGAGAAGGGGACAAATCCTCAGCCGGGAACAAAATTGCGAGCTTTCGCATCCAGAGCATCCGCCACAGAGCAACGGGAGGGCGGCCGGGGGGTGGGTGGATGGATGGATGGATGGATGGATGGATGGATGGATGGATGGATGGATGGGTGAGGGGAGGGGAAGGGAAGGGAACGGAAGGGA